CCCCAGCGTGGCAGCATGGAATAAATTTGTATTTCACTCCTCTCTGAGGAAAATATTAAATTGACAGTGCTGGGCTGGTGAGATGGCTCAGTGGTCTAAAGCACCTACTTAGAACAAGCTCAGCAAAGCACAGTGACTGCGGTTCAATCCCCCAGCTCCACATGCCAGCCAGCCCTGTCCCCTGGTGGGCTGAGCTGGCCACACACGCGCGTGCGCATACACACACACACACACACACATAAATAAATAAAAAATAAAAATAAATAAATAAAAATAAATTGACAGTGCTTGTTCAGCATGTTGGTAATATCGCCTGTAATGCTCAGAAAATAATGGAACAAAATTGTGGGTGAGATTCCAAACAGTGATAGTTTATAATGTTTGGAGCCATCTCTACTGGTCCGAAAGCATTTGTATCACTAGTGGGCAAAGATCATTTGTATCTTATTTTTTCTACCAATTAATACCTTGATTGTTCTTTGTTTCTGTTTTTGGTTTTGTGTTTTTTATTATTGTTGTTCTTTGAGATAGGTTCTCCTTATGCTGTGCAGACTAGTCTTGAACTCATTATGTAACCCAGGCTGGCCTTGAACATACAGCAGTCCTCCTGCTTCAGCCTCCCAAGGGATGGGATTACAGGCCTGTGCCACCACACCCAGCTCAGGACTACTGAGAAAATTTTTTTGGTCCAGAAACCTTAGTCCTGTTATGACTTTCAGGCTGAGGGTGGAAAAATAAAAGCTCAGAAAAAGAGTGTGATTCATTCAAAGTCAAAGGCCTGAGACAGGAGTGGAGGTCAGAACCTGCTATCCCACCCTCTATCCCCGACCCTTGGGGCTGTGTCCTCTGCCCTGCCAGGATCCTCCTTGACCCACTGTTATAGGTGCTGCTCTGCATCCTGCTGGGACTGGAGACTACGCACTCTTTTTTTTGGGGGGGGGGCAGGTACCGGGGATTGAACTCAGGGCCCTGTGCTTGCCAGGCAAGCGCTTATTCTACTGAGCTATCTCCCCAGCCCCTAGAGCTGGAGCTGACTGATACTGCAGAGTCTTGTGAAGATTCTGGGGTCATTTATGAGGAAGCCACTCAAGCTGAGACCATAGAACCTGCTGAAACCTGTAGCATCCCCATCCCTGTTAATTCCACAACGAGACCCCCAGGCAGTCTAGAACCTGAGAACAGACAGCCACAGTCCAGAAGGCAGATGGAGTCTCACAGGGATCATCACATGTAGTTCAAGCGTCATCTTCCTGCAGCAAGAGGTAGAGTTGCAGCTAGAACAGGGCTCAGGACAGGGAACCTCAAGCTGAGGTCTTGATCTGCCCCAGTGTAGCTTCCCTGAGGCCTGAGCAGGGCCTAGAAGATGCCACATGCCAGGGATGGTGTGTCAAACACAGTCCTCATCTCACTCTTACTCCCAGCAAGGCTTTGAAGCAGAGCTATTCTGAGCGCCCACATTTTCCACATGAGGAAACAGAAGCACAGAGGGGTGAAGTAACTTGCACAGAGACATACAGCTCTGTGAGAGCACCCGGGCTGCACTCTCCACCAGAGCGCTCTTCAGTGTCCCAGACAGAGATTTTGCCCCAGCTCGAGGAGAAGGAATGGAGAGGAGGAACCCAAGCAGGATGCATAGAGGGGATATTTCAGTTCAAACTGATGATGTCAGACAGCCCCTGTTTTCTCTGCCTGGGCCACCTTGATCATTGTGATGCCTGCCGCCTCAAGCTGGAAGTGACTCGTACCCAGGAGCCCCCCGGGGTAGGAGCCGGGATCACTTCTGCTGTGGAAGATGCTGCAGTGCTGGGAGCTCTGGGCTGCTGCCCACTCCTTGACCTCTCATGCACATAAAGGCCTGTTTCCAACTTGCCCAGCCTCCACCAGGAAGCCCGTCCTCTCAGCCTCTTCACAGCCTGCCTCCTCCTCTCCTTCCTGCCCTGGCCTACTCCCTCCTCCCCAGTGCATTGGTTTTCCCCCCCAGATCAGAGTCCTGCTACAGAAGAGGGTCTCCTAGAGGCTTTGATGAATGCTCAAGAGCTCACTCAGTGCCTGGGAGCCCCAGGCAGATCACAGAGATCTATTTTTAGGATGAGCTCCGCTCAGTTCTCCTTGCCAGGATGCCCCACCTCCTCTTCCCCCATTCACGCCAACTGGGTGAGCCTGTGAATTGCGCCCAGACAAGCCCGGGCCCAGCCTCCCCTGAAGACATGAGGGTACGAGAGGGCTTGGCTGTCTGCACAGATTCAGGCTTGGATGTGAGCCAGCTGGAAAGCCCACAGCCAGAGCAGGATCGGGGCCCCTCAGTCCCCTCCCTGGCTGCCAGCTTTCTCCACTCATCCACTCCTTTACCATTCAATAAGCCTTTTAAAAATTTTTTTGGGTGGAACCGGGGATTGAACTCAGGCTCTTGCGCTTAGCCAGGCAAGCACTTAAGTCTATTGAGTCATCTCCTGGGACCCTGTGAGCCTTTGATGGAGCTTTACTCTATTGGTGTCAGTGGGAAGAAAGATGCAGGAGAGCAGAGGTGACTACAAGCTCGCTCCGCTCTGCATGTGGGAACAGTCATCATTTAAGGAGTGTCTGTCTAAAAACTGGTAATACCAGGATGGTTAGTCTTGAATTTACCTAACCTCTCTCTTCTCTCTTCTCCACCAAAGATCCTGAGATAAGAGTAAGGTATTTTCAAGATTCCAGGAACAGCAAGTCTTACAGGCAGATCACTCCGTGATAAGACTACCCTCTTGAGAGAGAGAGCAAGTTACCCATGACAGAAACCAACTGCCCCTCCCAGAGCCAGCAGGACCTCAAAGACCCAGACCTGAGCTGGGGACCAGTCAGATCACAGCTTGACCGAGACTGGTTGACCTCGTACTTCTTCCTGACTCTCCAGCCCTTTTTCTTTTCCGCTTAGGATCCTAAAGCTCTCATCTTGAAGTCAGGGTTTAGGATGCCAGCCCAGCCCCTGCCTCCTGGGGTGGCCACACTGCGAATAAAATTCCTTTCTCATTTTGGCACCACTTATCTCTGTCTCTGATTGGGCTCAGGCCCCCTGGCCCAAACCAGGGCAAGACCCAAAATTACCTCCATCCCTGCCATTTCCTGCCTGTCCCCACATAGCCATGATGACTTTTCTCAAAAGCACATTGCTGTGGGCTAGTGAGGAAGTGTGTAGTGGGGCACTTGTCTACTGTGAGGCCATGGCTTTGAGCCTGGCACTGCAAACAAGGGTAACCCCAAAATACACACTGCCATCCTTGAGGTCTTGGGATAGGCATCACTGAGGAATCTCCAGAAACTGGGTCTGGAGGCACACACCTGACTAATGAAAGTGGTTATTTCAATTAGGAACAAGTGTCTTCCTTTCTGTTGTAGTTTTTTTGTAACTGGGGATTTTGTGTGTGCGTGTGTGTGTGTGTGTGTATCTGTATATGGACTTTTGTGGAACCATCATGGTACCCAGAGTCTATGGTAAGAAGGATCAAGGCCACAATTCAATGAGATTATAATTAATTTGGGATTACTTTTGGGTGCTGAGGATGGTCCATAGTGCATGAACTAGATGCTCTCTGTGGTCCTTGGTAAGCTAACTTGGGCTTCACTGGAAGCCTAGGATACATGTGGCCCTTGTTTTCACCAGCTGTGTTCTATTTGTTTGAAGCAGATATTTTCTGTGGCTTTGGAAAGCTTTCTCTGTTCTCCTTTTTCTCTCAGGGCCCTTGCAGAGACATCTCCTGCTTCCAGCCTCACTACCCCATTCAGCATCGCATCCTTGGTGCTTCCTGTAGAACCTTCTCCAAGCCGAGCCAGTCTCCTAAGTCTTAGAGGATTATATGAATGGACAAGGGTAGAGACAGAGGGACTGAAGAGAGTCTGGACCTGGAGGTCTGAAGAGAGTTGGAGGGGCTTCTTGTTGGAAGTGAGCCTTTGCCACTTGCTGGAAGACAAGGAGGAGGCCTTTGCAGCCTGTGTGAATGTTTGCCTCCTTAGTCGAAGAGGACCTGATGCACTTGGAAATGGCCAGCCACCGCTGAGTGTGGAAAAGGCATCTTCAGGACATTCCTGACTGTGTGGGCCACGTTCTCCCCCCCAGACTGAATACTCACATAGGGTTGAATGTTCCCCGGGTAGCTCCCCCGTCAGATCAGCAGCCTCAGATCAGGGGAAGACAAGCGAGGAAAAGCAGGGCACCCCTTGTCATGGGACCCTCAGAGTATAGGCCTGGATCTAACCTGGCAACCCTCTCAAGGTGAATGTTGTTATCCCATTACAGAGATGGGGAGGCCAAGGCAGGGAGGCTCAGAGTCCAGTTCCAAGACTCCCTGCCCACCCTCCCTCACGTTCCTGGGGCTCCTGTGTCTCCCTATCAAATCAGCTGTTCCTCAGCAGTGGAAGTGCATTGCAGGCTCCCCTATGGGAGGAGCACAGGGTCTCCTAAGGGAGCTGCCAGCGCCTTCCGCAAGGGGGCGACCCTCAAGGAGCATCAAGTTCAGGAAGAACTTGTCACACTGACAGAACAAAAAGCTGGGGCTGGATGAGCCTAGGGTGGGGACCCCAAAGGAAGAGGGGACCAATCCTTGTGATGGTCAGAACGACTTACCTAAGTCTCCTGCCACAACCCTACCTTCTCACTCATCTGTTGATTTTTCTATCTGCTGATTATCAACTCCCCACACAGAGCACAGAGTCCAAATCTCCACTCAGAGACTTCTTAGCTGAGTCTCCCAGGAGGATCCCATTCCTTGTCTTCTCTTCACTTTTCTTATCTGTGAAAAAAAAAAATGACAGAGAAATCTCTGCTTTGGGCGATGGCTCTAAGATTCTGAGACAGGCTATTAAACAGCTCCTGGCCAGTCCTGACACGTGGTTCCTGCAACCCAGCGAAAACTGGTTTGGAAGGGGTTAAGCCGAGACCCTGCCTCCTAGCCAAGAGCAAATCAGAGCTGGCAGGGGCGGAGCCAGGCTGCTGCTAGGAAAGAGAGCTAGACCTGCCAGATGCTGCCTGGAGAGGGACCGGCGGCAGAAGGAGCTGGCAGGGCTTGGGGGCCATGGAGCGGGGCGGGGCTCAACAGACCTGGCCTCTCCTCCTTGAGAGTTCCAAGCTCAAGGGTCCAAGGTGGCTGTGAGGCTGGGGAGTGGTGGGGCCGCCTGCACTGGGGACAGCAACAGAGTGTAAGAGGACTGGAGCCAGAATCCTCTGGGTCCCCCAGGCGAAGGGCTCTGGCTTCAGCTGACTCTGATGGTCCACATGGGCACAGAGTTTAAATTTAGCTCCAGTCACAGGAGTGCCTGGCAGTGGGTACCTTGGTAGCCAGAGCCACGCAGGGGGGCTCTTCAGGCAGTGGGGTGTGGGAGAGACCAGCCTACTTCCCTCCAGCCCTGTGCCTGGCAAGGGTGTTTCCCAGGGAAGCCCTGACCAATCTTCCATGGCCTGGCAGACAGCCCTCCACTCAGTCAAGGGCAGGGTCAGAGGTTCCCGCCACGAGGGCAGAGGGACATTGCCTTGCAGTCTGGACAAGGGTTGCATCTGTCTTAGCGGTGTCCAGGGGCAGGTTCCCCTGCTAGTGGGGCAAAGGCTGGCTTGGTTGTGTGACAGCCAAGGAAACAGAGTCCTGAGCACAGGAAAGCAAGTCCAGAAAGCAGGGTCCTCCCTGGTTCCTCAAGCGTAGCCAGTGACTTGCTCTCTGACCCTAGGCAGGGAGCTCTTCCCATCTGTACAATGGCAGCGCTGGCCTAGAGGGCTGCTCACAGCCCCGCACTGGCCCTGAGGTCCTGCTCAACCTTCCTGAGAGTCTGCAGAGGCACCTGGCTTCCCCTAGCCTTGGGTGTGGGCAGCCAATGCAGTTCTGGACAAGGAAGTCTCTCTGGCTGGCACTGTCAGCCTCCTGGCTCCTCCTCACCCTTCTTGGAGTCTTCCCTCTTCTCCGCCTAGCAGTGTCCCCCAGACCTCAGCCTGCTGCCCCTCAAGGCTGGCCCTGTTGGCTGGATGCGGCGCTCCTGCGGAGTTTCTCTCAGCCTGAGGAGCCCCTAGAAGATGCACCTCAACCTCCTCAAGCCCCCCATGGTGCCAGCTGCAGCTGGGGAATCTGCTTCGATGCCTCCAGGTGCAGGGGCACCGGCCTCAAGGTGTTCGTACACACAGCAGCTGGACCAACCTCTGAGATGCATCGCAGGATCCTGGCTTCCCTGGAAGGCTCCCACTACCACACACGCAGCCTCGGGGAGGCCTGCCTCCTCCTCCTCCTCCTCAGCCCGGATGCCCCAGCTGGACGGTGTGACCCGGATCCTCACCACTGGGATGGAGGCAGGAACCACCTGGTCATCCGTCTCCACCCAGACCCCTGCCCCCAGGCCTCCCAGCTTGGACAGGCAATGGTGGCGGAGGCCAACCCCAGAGCGGACACCTTCCGGCCTGGCTTTGATGTGGCACTCCCGCTTCTTCCTAAAGCCCACCCATTTCGAGGTGGGGCTCCTGGCCAGCTGCGGCAGCACAGCCCCCACCCTAGGGCAGCCCTGCTAGCCCTGGCAGAGGAGGGTGGCAGGTGGCGCATGGCAGGTACCCACTCTTCCACCTGCCCCTGGGATGGGCGCTGTGAGCAACATCTTGGACCGGAGCAGTAAGTGAACCTTCCCTTGGTGGGGCTGGCTTGGAGGAGGGTTATGATAGGAGAAGCCTAGAGCCGAGGGTACCTGGCGGGCCCGGTGAAAAGCACCAGCTGCTCTTGGCAAACTTAGGTCTCGGCTACAGCAGGAGGGAGTCAGGTTAGGCCACAGAGAGCACTTCCATCAAGACAGTGATATACCTCAAGAAGCGTCAAAGGCAGATTTTGGTCCTCTCCCTTGGGCGTCTGGAATAACAAAGCATGACTCACATCTACTTAAACTCCCTTTCTGTTATTCCAATCCCTCCTACCCTAACATTTTATGTAATATACACTTGGATGGTGCTTACTCTGTGATAAGCACTTTTATAAATAATGATTATGCATAATAAACTGACACAAATCTAAATGTTCAGATACCACACACTACGATTGGGCAGTACTTTCTCAGAGAGGTTAAGGCATTTATCTGAGATCACACAGGCAGAATGAATACAGTCAATCTTTTAATTCAGAGCTTCTTTCTTTCTTTCTTTCTTTCTTTCTTTCTTTTTTTTTTTTTTTTTTTTTTTTTTTTTTTTTTTTTTTTTTTTTTTTTTGTACCAGCAACTGAACTCAGGGCCTCATGCTTACTAGGCAAGTGCTGTGTCACTGAGCCATATCCTTGGCCCAGAACTACCTATGTCTGAAGCCTTCTGTTTGAGTTCTGACTTTTATTTATTTATTTATATATTTTTAGGCAGAACCGGGGATTGAACTCAGGCCTACTGAGTTCAATTCTACTGAGCTATCTTCCCAGCCCTGAGAGTTCTAAATTTTAAGCAAGTAGTATGATTATTAAACCCTATCAAGGTCTCAACAGGGTCCTGGAGATTAGTAACTGCTCACAGTTTGAAGCCCTTCCTGTCTAATTTAAGGGGATTAACTTCTTAAGAAAATAGTCTTTGGTTGTAGCAAATGGGACTTAGGTCCGATCTAAAGAAGAACTTCCTGCCGGTGAGAGTGCCTGGATATAATGAGGGGGCCTGTGGATGATGACTTTGCAGGAACTTTCTTCCCTCAGGCTGGCTGGGGTGATGTACCTCAGGAGCCACAGTGGTTAGCATCCAAGCTCCACAAGCCCCTATATCTCCAGGAGGCCAGCAGCCCCCCCCCAAAAAGGGTGGGCAAGAATGGAAGTTCCTTCTAAATTTGCTCTGGCCCGGTGGCAGAGAGTTCCCTCTGTCCCATTGTCCTCCCACAGGCCTGAGTTGGAAATTGTCCCTTCCCCATCATTCCTGAGATTCCCCCCTGGGCTTGCTTCGTGTGCTCTGCTAGAACATGAACATAACTATTCTGAGCTCCACGTACCCCCAGGACTTCTTCACATGGCCTAGCTCCATTGTTGCCTCTCAAGGGGCTCCCTGGGCTTCTCTCACAAGGCACTTGAGGGACTGGAATCCGCTACCTCCTGAAGGTACCTGGAGGCCTCCAGGGAGCCGCACAGCCAGGGCTAAGAAGGGAGCTGCCATTAGATCCTGCTGTCTCTTCTGTGGAGACCCAGGCTTCTTGTCCTCAGCAGCAGGTTCTAGGAATTGGCCCCTCCTGAGGCCCCTCAGGCTCAGAGCTCAGAGCTGAGAAGGACACACACCCCTGAGGTGAGTGCCCTACCCTCTCTCCTGCCTGATGGTGCCATTCATGCTGGTAGGAAGTTCCATTTGGGCTGACCTGGGTGACTGCTCCACGCATTTGGTTACTGGTGAATGCAAAGCTGTTTCATTCTGAACTCTGTGAAACTGAAGTTAAAGAGTTACATAGGACAGGAAGGTGAATGAACACTAAGTGTTCACTGGTGGACCCCAAATGGACCAAAACTGGACACAGTTTGTTTTTCTAATTAATATGATTCACCCTCTGGAAAGGAGAGGGGCTTGTTTTTCGGTTTGTTTGTTCTCCTAGCACTGGGAGTCAAAGCCAGGGGTACATCCCTAGGCTTTTTAATGTTTTTAGTTTGAGACATGGTCTTGTTAAGTTGCCCAGGCTGAGCTCAGACTTGTTACTTCCTGCCTCAGCCTCCCAAGTAACTAGGTTTACAGGTGTGTGCCACCAGGCCAGACTTGGGTAGCAGTTTTGATAAGTTTCTATGCAAAATCTGAAGCGTGGCAGCTTTTCACTGGCGTCTGAACCACAAGGAGTTTCAGTTTTGGCTCAGTTTTGGCCTCAACCCTCCTCCGGGTGACAAGAGGCTGTCGTCTCTGAGTTAGCTGGAGCCGCAGCGTCTGTGGAATGTCAGGCCTTCAGTACAGGGATGGTGGGGGAGGCAGCCACAGGGCCAGCCCTCAGAAGGTGTCCTGAATAAACAAGCAGTGGCCAAGAACAGGCAACTCACAGTCGCCACCGCCACTGTCCCACATCTCTCAGCCACTGGGGTGAGGAACGAGCTCAGGGAGCTCCTGCCTTGACCAGGTCCCTGGTCTTGTGTGCTGGGTGTCAGGTGCTAGGTGTGGGGTACCAAGCCAGGTACTCTGTCTGTCATTGCAAATTCTCTCACACACTTTTAGAGCGAGCTATTGTTAGCCAGTTTCAGGGCACAGGAACCTGAGCACAGAGAACGGATGTGAATGAGCCCCGGGCCTTTGGTGACACAGTTCTGTCCCCAGGCCCCTTTGCTTTTCTGGTTCTGCGCCTGGAAGTGCTGGAGTTGAGTTGCCTTGTTTGTTTTTGGTCTTTTTTGATTTTACTGTATTTTTTTGGTTGAATTGTTTTTTAGGGGAGGTTTATTTTTTGGTTTTGGTGCCAAGGACTGAACCCAGGGCTTCCAGCTTGCTAGGCAAGCATTCTACCGCTGAGCCAAATTCCCAGCCCCCAAAGTGCTGGAGTTGAGATGAAACCCTGTACTTCTGGCTCCAGCGCCCAAGTTTTTCCACCTGGCTTGAACAGTCTTTTGTTCCTTCAGAGTGAGGGTCCACCCACTGAAATTGTTACTTATGTATTTTTATGAATAGAGAATTCATTCACAGGCTACAAAATTCCAAAAGGTACACAGTAAAAGTCTCTCTTCCATCTAGCGGTCTTCCGACCACCCAGTTTCCCTTCCTGGAGCCAAGCACTGTTTCCAGTTTCTTGAGCGTCTCCTCTAAGAAGCTGTATGTGTGTGTGTGTGTGTGTGTGTGTGTGTGTGTGTGTGTGTATGCAAGCATAGTAGGCACAGATATTCCTCATATTTAAATGTATGTTCAATAGATATTTGCCAGTCCTCCAGCCCATGTCTATTAGACACCACAGGTACCATGTCTGGGACCCAAATACTTTTTAAGGTACATGAAAATGCTTTCAGAAGAAAAAAAATGTGGGCCAGGGATATAGCTCAGTGGCGTGGCACCTACCTGGTAAGCTCAAGGTTCTGAGTTTGATTCCTGATTCAAAAAGAAGAAGAAGAAGAAAAAGAAAAAGAAAAGGAAAGGGAAGGGAGGAAGGAAGGAAGGAAGGAAGGAAGGAAGGAAGGAAGAAAGAAAGAAAGAAAGAAAGAAAGAAAGAAAGAAAGAAAGAAAGATAGATAGATAGATAGACTTAGGTACAAAAAAATTTTAACATATGATATTGTTTGGACCAGGCATTGTGGCATACGCCTAGAATCCCAGTAGGAGGAGTTCGGGGCCACCCAGGGGTAAAAGCAAGTTGAAGGCTAGCCTACACAATAAAGTAAGACCCTGTCTCAGAAAAAAAGTTTGATTTTATACCAACATAGAAATCAAATGTCATTGTTAATATCTTTTTCATAGCAGGACTGGCTGCAAAGTTTAAGGGACATGGCCGTTACCACATGGTCCTTGCTGCCTATGGCCAGACCCAAGTAGCCTGACCCTGTGGCCGTGGGCAGGGCCACCCTGATCACCCATGGGCTCTGAGGTCTGGATCTAGAGCAGACACCTTACAGAGTGGTAGGTTATTAAGGCTCCCTTGGCCTCCCACACAGATGCACAAGTTCTCTCTATGACATGCTCCCTCCGAGTGCCACACCGGGGCTCATCGAGTCTCTGCTTGCTTCACTCTACTGATGAGAAACTCACCACCTCCCATGACTCTCTGTACCTTAGCTCCATTACTAGAATCTGTGCTGAAATTGTCCCCTCTCCCCCAGGTCCCTGAGGTCCCTGGCCCTGAACCTATGCTCTAGTGCCACACCCGCCGAGTGTTCATTCTCCACCCTGTGCCCTGCTAGGCCCTAGGGTGCTAAGATGAGGGAGACACAGCCCCTGCCCTCCGGTAGCTCAGAACTGTAAGAGAGACAGACAGACAACTACATGGTTTGACTCACACTATTAAGCAGAGATGGGCTGCACATCTGCTTGTCAGGCTCTTCTGCTTAAGAGCCCAATGTCCTTTTTGGACCTCAGTTTCCTCATGTATAAAATGAAACCATATCAGCACATGCCTTCCACCTTGCACAGATAGCTGCTATGAGAATAGTGTATGTAAAGCACACAGAACTGGGTCTGGAGCAGAATATGCACCCCATAATCGTTACCTGGGAGCCAAGGGGGCTTCCAGAGGAGGCAGAGTAGGAGGGAGTCCTTGGTCCTCGAGGCAGGGAGGGACATTTAGGTGAGGGGACGGGATGCAGGTGTGCAGGGGCACTGAGGTGGGAATGGGGAGGTGAAGGGCCAAGAGTACAGGTCAATCAGCAGGGCCTTTGTTTCTCTTTGGGCTCCCCAAAGCTTTCACCAAGGGGTTTTCAGTTCTTTAGAGTTTGCTACCTGCTTGGCTGGTGGCTGGCTTTTAATGTGACAGAGGGTGTCCCTGAGTGTGCCTGGGTAGCCTGGTGGAACCTGAGCATCAAGTGGAGGGGAAAGGAGGAGACCTGGGTCCTCTGGGGACCACTAAGCAATGCTTCTGGGCTCACTTATTAGCAGGGGTTGGGTCCTGTCCTAGGCCCATTCCGCCCTACCCCTTCTGGGACTCAGTCACATTGTTCAGTGGGGGTTGCTTCAGAGGCTGCCTGATGTTCCCAGGTCTGCTTCTGGAAGGCCAGGCCATCAACAAGATGGGCTGCAGGAGAAGCGGGTCCTGGAAACCTCTGGGACCCCATCTCTCAGGCTCAGCTTGGGCAGCCTGGGTCCTTGCCCTCTCACCAGCCCTTCTCTCCCCAGCAGGCTCACTGACAAAAACTCCCTGGGTGGGCAGACCCAGGGGGTGGCTCTGAGCAGGCTGTGACTCCTTCTCTCCCCCTCAGGCTTGGGCAGCCTGAGTGTGGCCATGGGGCTAGGGGAAGGAGGTGGAAGAACAGAGGAGCCCTGTCCTCTGGGTGGGTGAGGGGACTCTGGGCAAGAGCTTCCTGTGTGGTTCCAGGCTGCAGGCCCAGCCCACCACATGACAGAGCAGCCTTTCATGGGCGTGGGCTCCTTCTGGGTAGGGGGCAGGCCAGGCACAGAGGTCACTCAGTTGAAAGTGCCTGAGAGACTGCATGTGGCAGAGTACAAGTGGAGGGACCCTGGGCAACATCGGGTCCCACCACCTCCCATTTTGCAGATGAATAAACTGAGGCTCAGAGAAGGGAAAAGAGGTGTCTGAAGTCACCAAGGGTAGTCAGCTGGAATCCAGGGATCATGTGAACACATGAGAACATGATGGTGCACACTATGAATTTGGGAGCGCTGGAGTGGGGTGAGGGGCAACTCTCACAAGCTCGCTTGTGTAGGGAACCATCCTGTGCCTCCTTAGAAACAGCCCTGAGGACAAGCTACCCAATGCCACCTTCTGCCTCATTCCTGGTCACCGCACTGAAGCCTCTCGCTTCCTGCAAGCCCTACAGGTATGACCCCAATGAGGGTAACCCCATCGTCTGCCCCCTCCCCGGAGCCGGTAGGCATGAGGGCAGTCATCATTTTACTTCTTCACTCTGGGGATCGGGGGTCCCACAGCCACGACCACAAGCACCCTGCAGACCAGCTCCCTGTTGCCCTAAACCCACTTGCCTTTTCTCTTTGGCCCCTGCCCCGACAGCAGTTGTTGTCACCTTGGACCTGGGAGGGGTGAATGTGTGTAGGAAAGTACTGCCCAGTGACTGTTCTGCCCCACAGGCTGGCTGCATCCCTGTGCTCCTCAGCCCCCGCTGGCAGCTGCCCTTCTCAGAGGTCATCGACTGGACCAAGGCGGCTATTGTGGCTGATGAGCGGCTCTTGCTTCAGGTAGCTCAGGGCCCTGCCCCTGGGCAGGGATTGGAGCCAGGACCCGGAGGGACTCCAGGATCCACTGGGTCTCAGCCCTCATTCCTATCTCTTTCTTCCTCCACCCTGAGCCTCCCTGTGCAGCAGAATGTCGCTGACCACAGTCCCAAGGCTACTAAGCATCACTCAAATCCAGTTCTGTGAGACCCTTGAACTCAACTGGCCAGAAGGTTGGTGGGGCCTGCCAAGATCCCAGGCCTCCGCCTTTTCTCCCTCCTCACCCCAGGTCCTGGCCGCCCTCCAGGAGATGGCTCCTGCGCGGGTCCTTGCCCTGCGCCAGCAGACCCAGTTCCTGTGGGACGCCTACTTCTCCTCAGTAGAGAAAGTCATCCACACTATGCTGGAGGTGAGGGGGACCTACCCATTAGGGGACCGGCACTGGACTCCTGCTTCATCAGCCCCTCTCTAAACTCCTCTATCCACGCGCTTCCTTTTCCTAGTCTTGACATTCCTCCTTGATGTTGCTTGGGCACTGACTTGCTGTGGGAGCTGGGCCCCTTCCCCTCCTGTCTTGGCCTCAGTTCCCATATCTGTGGAGGGGCACACACACTCAAAGGGTGCACTAGCTCCAGTTGGTGGCAGTGGCTAGGAAGGGGCAAGGAATCGCAGGATCTCTCAGGACTCGAAGTCCTGAACAAGTGTTATGATCTCTTAGTTATGTCATCTGTGGGTAAGGAAGGAAGGCAAGGCAGCAAGACTCTCATATCTGGTGACACTGGACCTACAAATGGTGCTGGAAAATATCATAGCCCCTAACCTATAACCTCCTAGATGTCTGATACACCATGTTTGTGTTCCCCCAAATTGAAAAATGAATCCTGAGGAACAACTGAGGTAAAGAGGAGGAAATTTTATTGAGGGAGAGACAGCTCGTGAGAGACAGGAGGGGACCAGGAAAGTAGGTTGCCACAGACTCCACTTTTTTTTCTTTTTTTTTTAATGTATTTGGTACAGGGTCTCACTATGCAGCTCCAACTCATAGTGATCCTCCTGTTTTCAGCTTCCCCAGCACTCGGATTACAGGTGTGCGCCACCACACCAAGTCTTGGTGGCCAGCTCAGTGGACCTGGGGGCAGGGCTGGTGCGGCATATGGCACTGGGGACCAAGCCCTGGTCTCTCCACTTGCCTAAGCAAGTGCTTAGTTCATTGAGCTATCCCACTGGCCTCTGCAGACTCCACTTTTACAGAGGAGGTATTTATAGAACAAAATCAGGAGGTGCAAAAACTCTGATCAACCAATAAGATTGCAAGTAGAGTCGCTTAGGTAATGTTGATCCAATGGGGAAGCAGGTCACGGAGCAAGTGTGCATGGAAAAGACAATATTTTAGGAAGGATGGGTCAAGGGGTCCTGGTCACTCACCCAAGTGACTGATACCTATTTAGAACATTGATTATAGTATATGGTTTATCCCTCCAGGAGGTACATAGGTGTGATCATTTGATCTTTCTCTGGAGGCCCGAACTTCAACTAATGGACCTCCAGCCACAGGCTGCAATGTGTTATCTTCTTCACTGACTTCTTGGAGGGCCGAGCCCTGTCTGACTGCCTTTAACAGTTCTGCCGGACCCAGCTGTCTATAATATTATCATTTGTAAGAGGCTCTCACAGATGCCACCCTCTAGCTTCCAGCTTCTCAACCCTCTGGCCCCAGGGGTCTGGTGCCATAGCTGCTGCCCTTAGAACCTGAAGGGGCAGTTGTGAAGCTGTCCCCTGCCTTGGCTTCCTCAGACCTCGGGACTGCAGTCTTGGGGCCACACCAGCCACCCCTCCGTCTCTCTCTCCACAGATTATTCAGGACCGGATCTTGGGCGCATCTGCCCACCCCTCACTGCTGTGGAACAGCCCTCCAGGGGCACTCCTGGCCCTGTCCACCTTTTCCAGGAACCCTCAGGCCTTCCCCTTCTACCACCTTCAGCAGGGTATGTTCTGGACATAGGACAACATGAAGTCCTTTCATCTGTCCCCAGGTCTACCCTAGCTTCACCCATAGGGCCCTGCTGAGACCTTCCCAAGCTTCCAGCATGGATACTGGCTCTTGGGGTCCCCTCCAGAGGGTCGTCTCTCCCTGCCCTAACACCTGTGTCTTTTTTCCCCAGGCTCCCGCCCTGAGGACAGATTCAGTGCTCTGATCTGGGTGGGGGCCTCCAGCCAGCCGCCCTTGAAGCTCATCGAAGCAGTGGCCAGCTCCCAGCATTGTGCCCAGGTCTGCCCCCTTGGCCCCCAGAATCCTGGGATTAGCGGGGGTGGTAGTGGTGGTGAGGGACAGGGCAGGGTTCTTTAAGACACCTAGAGCCCAAAGATGACCACATATTTTCTTCAGAGGCAAGGAGATTTCTGAGGGTTCTTGCTGCCTTCCTCTGGAAGTACCAAGTTTTTTGTTCTTCCCCCTCAATTCCATGGACTTGCTGAGGTCCCTTAAAGCTGGTCCCACTCGAGAAGGCTACAGAAGTAAACATCCACCCATCCATTCATTCATCCATTCATCCATTCATTCACTCAGCTATAATTGCTGGGTCAGGCCCTGGGGTTGACAATGAGCATGCAAAAAAAAAAAATCGAGACAAGATTCTGCCCCAGGATTCAGATTCAGTTGGCATGTCCTGGCACACAGACTGTCAAATCACCTTGCCAGAGAAGCCAGGTGGACGCCCAAAGAGGACAGCTGCTCAGAAGGGCATTTGGGCTGGGCTGGGAAAGAAAAGAAGCCAGAGGAAAGAGTACAAAAGTTGGAGAAAAGGTGGAGAGGGGCATGGAGTCTGGGCCCTGGCTGGAGGCTACCACACCAGATTTTTTGTCCTCGTGGATTTCTGTCCTGCAAGGACAGAATGGCAGTGAAAGGACCCCAGATCCAACAAATCATCTCATACATGCACCTCTGGTTCTGTCCCTGGAGAAAGTCACTCCTGGGACGCTCTCATCTCCAGGCCCTAGACCTCAGGAACCCCCTTCTCTTCTAGATCTTGGTTCTCTGGAACAGTGAGAAGCCACTTCCTTTCAGGTGGCCAGAGACAACAGTGCCTATGACAGTCATGGAGGGGCACAGGAAGGTAAGCATTGGGTGGCCAGGAAGAGGCAGGCTTGTGCTGGGAACTTCAGAGGCACCCAGCGCCTTCTGCTTGGGCCTGAGCCAAAGTCAGGCTTCAACATGGACCTGAAGAAATCAGACCTTGGGTTCCAGCTGCAGACCTGGAAACAAGTCTCTTCCCTCCCTGGCCCTTGTGAATGGTGCTTCCAGAGCACTAAGTGTTCTGTGAGGAGGGAAGGCAGAGTGCTGTGTGGATGACTCAGATGAGGGACAGGAAGACCTGAGATCTTGGGGACACATGGAAAGAAATGGGGCCAGAAAGAAGCAACTTCGCAGAAGCTAGGTGATCCACAGCACCTCTCTGCTAGGTGCTTCTGGGCAAGTGCCTTCAGCTCCCTAGACCTGCTTCCTTCAAATGAGGGCTGTCTGACTACCACTCCCAGGGTTGAGGTGAGGATCTAATATGACAGTGGAGGAAACCTGAAGTGTCACAACAGAGGGTCCCTAGAGACCAGTAACCAAAGGGGACCCTGAAATCCAGAGAGTGAAATGAGTCTGGGGCTAGCTCCAGAACTACTATTGTAGTTCTTCCTCAACACCCTGCCTGCAGAGCTCCTACTCATTGGTACAGGACTTTCCTGTGTGTCACCCTCACCCTCTCCCATTGTAGGTCAGTGACCGCTTCTTTCCGTACAGCACCATCAGCACAGATGCCATCCTCAGCCTTGATGCCCACAGCAGTCTTTCTACAAGTGAGGTGAGCTGGGCCCAAGAGGAACCCAGTGCAGTGGGCACAGAGTCCGAGGGCAGTGCCAGGAGGTTCTGTTTTTTTTTTTTTTTTTTTTTGGCGGAACCGGGGATGGAACTCAGGCCCTTGCACTTGCCAGGGAAGCGCTTATTCCACTGAGCCATCTCCCCGGCCCAGTGCCAGGAGATTCTGGCAGGTCACGAGATACAACTTTTTGCTTGGGAAACCACTGTAGCAAGCCAGGAGGTTCCTCTTTAGAAATCCAACAGATGTTCTCAGATTCTGGTTTTTGGGGGGTTATTTTTTGTTTTTGTTTTATTTGATACAAGGTCCTGCTACGCAGTTCATAGTGATCCTCCTGACTCAGCCTCCCCAATAATTGGATTATAGGGATGCGCCACCTCACTGGGTTTTGGGGCTGACACAGCTCACCCAAAACCCAGGCCAGCACAGCATGCAGTACCAGAGATAGAACTCAGGACTTTGCATTTGTTAGGCAGGCACTTAGACCATTGAGCTATCTTCCAAGCCCTATTATTTATTTTTTGATACAGGTTTTGTTATATAATTCAGACTGGCTTTGAACTCACTATACAATGCAGGCTGCCTCAAACTCATGATGATGCTCCTGCTTCAGCCTCCTGAGTACTGGGATTATTGGCATGCACTGCCATGCCCAGCCTCCCAGACCCTCCTGAACATTATTTTTGTGGCTCCAGCTGAGAAAGTTCCCCCTAAAAATGCCTCTGAAACATTCATGCTACACTTGTAGTTAACTCTAAGCAATGGCTCTCATCCTCTCTCCCCTGAACCCTGTCCTGGCCCCCAGTCAGGAAGCCTCACCTCACAAGGTGCAAAGATGTTTCTGGAAGGTCGGGAAGTCCCTTCTCACAACCTACTTAATCTCTCTCCAGGTGGACTTTGCCTTTGTGGTGTGGCAGAGTTTCCCAGAGAGGATGGTGGGCTTTCTAACGTGGAACCACTTCTGGGTTGAGGCTGAAGGTGGCTGGGGCTATACTGCTGAGATGGCCAATGAATTCTCCATGGTTCTCACTGCGGCTGCCTTCTACCACAGGTACAAATGAACCAGGAATAGGGTGGTCTAGAGCCCAGAGACACAGGTTCAAGGCCCAGATCTGCCACTTTCCATTTATGTCATCCTGGGAAGGTCTCTCATTTCTCGGTTTCAACGTCTGTGTCTGTAAAGTGGAATGTGGAGGGGCTGGGGAGATGGCTCAGTGGAATAAGCACTTGCCTGGCAAGTGCAAGGGCCTGAGTTCAATCCCCAGTTCTGAAAAAAAAAAAAAAAAAAAGTGGAATGTGTTCACTTCCCAAGGATGGGGTGATCTTCCAGTCAAGACCCCAGTACACACGTTCAATAAGTAGCTAGTGTTGTTTTAAGAAACTTTTTTTTTTTTTTGCACTGAATGCCCTCAGGGCAGGTTTGGCTGGCTTGAGTTGTGGGGATCAAACCACAGCAACCTGAGCCTGACTGCTTTGTTGAATCAACCACTTAAAGAACTGAGCTAAGGGGCAGCCCCCTCCTTTTTTTTTTTTTTTTTTTTTTTTTTTTTTTTGTGATACCAGGGATTGAACTCAGGACCTTGCGCTTGCCAGGCAAGCACTTATACTGAGCTATTGCCCCAGCTCCAAATGTCATTTTAAATAGCAGTATAGTATTCAGTGGGTAAGGGCAGTGTTTAGGTTGGATGGTGGTAATGGGGTAACAAGAGAATAGTTCTGATGTGTTATAGATGTGGGTCTGCTGGGTTGGGGACCACCCCAGGCCTTCCCCAAGCTGCCCGAGGTAGCTCAAGGGCCTCACTCTTGGAGCAGAAATGCACTGTGGAAGAGCTCCTCAAAGCGGTGCCTTCAGAATGTTTCAACCAATCTGTGTAACATGGAACTCTGTAGATTCATCCAGGGACCCTGTAGGGAATTTTCAGTTAGGTGAAGGACAGCCCTAATGTCTGCAGGGCAGCCCCAGCTTGTGCAGAGAGACACTGGGGTGAAACATCTCGCCTCCTTATTCTACATCTTCTGGAAGCCGGTATTTGGGTGGCCATGTTTGATCGCCCCTGCCTGGACCCTCAAGTCTAGCTCTGCCTGAGCAGGTCACACCATCACCTGCAGGCAAGCCAGAGTCCGTGGAGAGTGACTCAAAACTCGGGTGGGAAAACAAAACAAAACACAATAAGAAAAATACACTTGGGTGGGAGCTCTCTGAGGCAGGGCTGGGAGAATGACTTTTGAAAGAGGTTTAGGGATCAGAGTCAGGGGCTGAGGTGAGGTCAGCAGGGAGTAGAATGAGGCCTGGGGGCGGCAAAGTGTGTGTGTGGGGGGGGGGGCTGCAGTCTCTCCCTGTCTTCCCTCCTCGCCCAGGTATTACCACACGCTCTTCACCCACTCCCTGCCCACGGCCATGAGGACCCTGGTGGATGAGGCACCCGCCTGCGTGGATGTCCTGATGAACTTCCTAGTGGCAGCAGTCACCAAGCTGCCCCCTATCAAAGTGCCCTATGGCAAGCAGCACCAGGAGACTGCACCCCTGGTGAGGGCCAGAGAAGCTGGGTAATACTGGGAGAGCCTAGTTGGGGCGCAGCGGGGCTCCCTCTCCTTGCCTAATCCAAACCCTTCTTGCTGCTGCGGGGCAGGCGTTGTGGGGGCCCCAAAGGACAGGGAGGCCCATGGAGGCATTTCTTCTCCACCGCTTAGGCTCCTACGGTTCCGGGATCTGGATCTCGACCTCAGGCCCCACACCAAGATTGCATCAACCAGATGGCAGCAGAGTTCGGCCATATGCCTCTGGTCTCCTCTCGCCTGCGTCTGGACCCCGTGCTGTTCAAGGACCCGGTATCTGTACAGCGCAAGAAGTACCGCAGCCTGGAGAAGCCCTAGGCGAGGCCCGAGGAGGTCCTAGCCCGGATCCCACACCCCACCGCTCGCTCGCTCTCTGCGCTGTGCCTCCGCTTGCCTGGAATGCCTACTTCTGCTCCACCCAACTACCTTGTCCTTCAGATCCGTGCCTGACATTTAGGTCCGACCTCACAGGCTTCGGTGTCGTTAAACAGTCGCGTTTCCCGCACTGTTCACGCTGGCGGGCAACGTGAGCACCTTAGGCTCCAGAACCCACCTGGGAGTCCGGAAGGCGGCTCGCCGTCTCCTCTCTGGTCCTGCAGGTAGAGATAGTAACTCTCTGCCAGCATGGACACTGTGCTGAGAAACCAAACCCCCTACCCGGGGTTTCCCGTCGGCGAGGAAGGCAGCCATCTGCAGAAGCCTGGGTTTTCAGGCTCACTTCTCGCGCCCCAGGAAAGGAGCAAAGAAGTGCAAGGAAATTAGGAGTCAGAGGAGGAAAAAGGATGAGAACGCAGCGGGGCTTCCCTGCGGCGCTGGATCCAGGGCTCTGGCACCACCAGCCTCCCCGCATCACCGGCTTGCGCCGCTAGAGAGCAGCGCCGCACCGCACTCCCTCCACAGAAGGGCCTGGCTCTGTAAACGCCCTCTGGCGGGGCCGAGAGGGCGGGCAGGGGGCGTGGAGGGCAAGCGGTGCGCACCACCCAGGGTCTGCAAACACGGAAGGAATGGGAAAGAGCAGTCACAGGGAGCCCAGCAAGGAGAGACTATTCCCGGTGGACGGAGCAGGAGGGCTGTCCCCAGAACCCTGTAGGTGAGGGCGAAGTGGGGGAGGGCGCTGGTTCTCCTGGCTTCATCCACCTGGAACTGGAATTATCACTTCCGAAATAAAACGCGTGTCCTTGCCCCTTCACGCTCAGGCTATAAATACACGGATAGCAGCTGCGTGCAGCCGCCGGGAGGGGGGCTCTCGAGGCTATCCAGGAGCCTGGGTGACTAAAAGGGTGGGGTTGAGGGGTGCAGCTCTGTCTAGAGTGTCAGGTGTTTTCCTGCTTTGAGGGTTTTGCTGCTCTGGAAACTCCCATGACTGGGTCGCCATCTGGAACATGGTGTCCCTAAGGTCTCCCAACCCCATCCTTCAGCTTGGTCTCTGGCCCCTGGATGACTCAGTCCTCCCTGGAGACTGTCACTGTTGGGCATTCAGAATAGGTGTCCTTTGGGAGGCAGGGTGCCCTTGATGCTGGAGGTGCAGGGGGCCTGAAAAGGAAGGCAGGAGGGAAGCAGTCCAGCCCAGGGTCAGACACAGTTGCAGGGGGAGGACAGTGAGGAAAGCTGCAGTTGAGCAGCCTTCCAAGGTAGGGAGCGCTCCCAGAGCCTGCGCAGCTGGGCAGAGTGGCACCTTTGCAAATGCAGCTTCAGCACCCAGGGTACTAACTGCCTTGGCATCACTCTGCCTGTGGGGTGGGCACTACTGAACTCGGGGGAGACTGCACCGACATCCAATTCAGAGCACATCCCCACCCCCTGCTGTAACAGCGGTCCAGTCAATGAGGCAGAAATCCCAGACCCGCTTTGCACTGGCTGGGTGATTTAGCCTCTCTGAGCCTCACTTTTTTCATATATAAAAACAGAGAAGACCAAACAACTGCTCCGGGAGGGGTGGAAGGGCTTGGCACATAGGGAAGCCCAGGACCAAGGTTCCTGGGGCCTGCAGGGATTGCAGGACAGATGTGTGGCTCCTGGAGGCTAGCGGTATGCAGCACAGTCATCAGCTGTCCTCCCTGCCGCCTGCCTCTTCCAGGCCAACACTGATGACTTCCCAGTCACCTTGAAAGGCTGAAGGACCCCTGACCTAGATCACAGGCAATTCCAGTAATAGCTCTGGAAAGACATTTACGAAGAAGCTCAAAGAAGAAAGGAAGGGACCAGATCCTCCTCCTGCTGCCATGGCCTGGCCAGTCAGGACAGACTCTATGCTGCCCTGGGCAGGTTCAAAGCCCACCTGGCAGCCTTTGGCCACAGATGTCCCCTTGTTCCAGGATGACAGTGAAAGTAACCACTCTCCAGCAACCAACAGGTGCTTGGCCAGGTGACCAAATCTTTGGCTCTGTCCTCACAACAGCCCTGTGAAGTAGGTGTTCCATTCTTAGTCTTCAGATAAGAGTGGAGAGGCCAACCAGCCTAAGGACCCTTGCCCATAAAGCAGAAATGGACATTAAGCAAGACAGAAATTCAGCGCAGGACTCCTTGCTAACTGGGCATGCTGCCGCTGTGAGATAGGCCAGGTCTCCCATCTTGCTTCTTGTAAACACAAGGCAGCTCCTAAATCAGTAATGTTCATACACAAAATCCCAGAAGCCAGGATTTTCCCTCCTCTGGGCTATGCCCTTTGTCCCCTGATTCTGACAATATCAGGCCATCCAGGCAATAGAGCCAGGTCAATCATGTCTAACTCCAGGCTCTACAACCTCCTGGAACACTATCGGGGTGCAACAAGTGGTCCTGGGACCATGAAGTTGTTTTGGCCAGACCCCAGCTGCAGTCAGTTCCCTCAAACTGCATCAAGGGTATCTGTATGTTAGCCCAGCTTCCTAGCCTGGGGGGAGACAAGGAAGGAGGAAACCAGCCAGGTTGTTACCCGGTAAGAAGCTTCTCTCTCCAGGAAAAGGTAGCACTGGCCTGAAGCCAAGGTGACTAAGTCACAGGCAGACCTCAGGTGCCCTGGCTCCACATTTCAGGGGAACTGTGTGAGTGCAGGGGTCCTCATAACACCAACTCCCATGGCCTCCTCAAACCTGATTGGCAGAGGGAGGGGCCTCTGTTCCAGGGCAGCCAGGATGCAGGTGGGAAAGGCAGGCCAGTAGGGAAACTTTTAAGCCAGTCTCCTCTTTGTTCCCCAGGCTATGCCTCAGTGACTTTCCTACTGTGGGTGTCAGGGTGGCACCAGCTGGGGATCAGACCCAAACATAGCCCTGTGGGGACTGGCCTAGAGGTGGAGGAGAGAGGTCACACTGGCAGGAAACCTGCCTGGTTGCCACCCTAGAGCTGGCTGTGGGCAGTTGGGCAAGGTCAGCAAGAGCCCACTCCTGCAGGGGACAAAGCTCCACACTGAACCTAGACCAGAGAGGGGCAAGGTAGGCAGAGTCCTGGCTGGGTCTGCAGGACACTTGGTCTGGCCATCTGCAGGTCCTGGTCGAGCCTCAGTTGGTGCCTGGCCAGGATGCTAGTCTGAGGGGCTTTGGCATGCCTGACAGTCCTTCATGTCTTCGGAGTAGTTCTCAATCTGGATGGTCATAGTGTGGAAGTGGAACTTCCCCTGGAGCCGGGTGCTGGCCACCTTCAGCACAGCCTGGGCATCTGCATTCTGAGCTAGGGCAAGAGATACAAGGTAGGTGAGGCAGACCAGAGACCTATTCACTCAAGCTTGATGTTTTGGAACTATCAGGAGCCCAGTTCTTCTGCCTACCCCCAGAAGATCGGGGTATGGGACCATGACCATGAAGAAGCCCCCAGAAGCTGGACAGTAGCATGCTCCTGTAACCCCAGCACTTGAGAAACTGAGGCAGGAAGATCCTAAGTGTGAGTTTTGCCTGAACAACTCATCGAGACCTTATCTCATAATAAAAAAAGGGATGAAGACATAGCTCAGTGGTGGAGCTACTGTGGGTTTGATCTTCAGTACCACAAAAGAAGAAGCCCTCAGATTTCTCTCTTGCACCGGGCAAACCCTCAAAGCCCATACCTGGCCCTGGCCTAAAAGAACAGGGAAAGCACCAGCCTCAAGAGGCCAGGAATCCACCTTTTTCTGCACTTATTTGCTGCAAGAGACTTGTTTGCCTAGGCAAGGGACTTGACCACCACCACCCCCAGCTTCAGTTTCTTCTTGGCTAAACAAGATCATGACAAGCAAATGAAGTAATATGGTCCAAGTGCAGGCTCAGGGCAGGGACTCTGCAAGACCCACAGGGGTGGCCTCTGGCCTTTGGCTGCCTCGTCCCCTCACCCTGCCCCAGTCCCAACCACTCACCAATGGCAATGTGGACAGACAGCATGGGATGAGCCATGGTCAGCGCCCAGATGTGCAGGCTGTGCAAGGCCTCCACGCCCTCCACTGACAGCAGCAGGTCCTGCACGGCAGTGAAGTTTATGCCCTTGGGAGTCCCTGAAGACAGCAGTGACAGGGGATGAAGGGTGCTGCTCTGCCTCTAACACTGTTCCTCTGAGAAATCTTCTTGGCCAGCAGGTCTGATGTTGCCTCGCTTTCCCTACTCCCCATGCACCCTACTGTGTTCTCTTCATAGTTAATACCATCTGGAAATTCTCCTTGGACCGTTTATGTGTCTTCTACACTCAGATGGAAACCTTACAAGAGCAAGTGCTTCACCACGGTACCCTCAGGGTCTAGCACAGTGCCTGCCTCAATACGTGCTCAGTAAGTTTATTTTCTTTTCTTTTTTTTTTTTGTGGAACCGGGTATTGAACTCAGGTCCTTGTGCTTGCCAGGGAAGCGCTTATTCCACTGAGCTATCTCCCCGGCCCCTAGTAAGTTCATTTTAAATGGAAGGAAGAAAAAAAAGAAAGAACAGAACCTGAGAGTCTCTGTACCTGCCTGAGGTATCATCACATTTTCTTTTTATTTTTTATGTATTTGGTACAGAGTCTACGGGGTCTCGCTACATAGATCGGACTCGTAGTGATCCTCCTGTTTCCAGCCTCCCAAGCACTGGGATTATAGGTGCACACCACCACGCCCAGTCTCAATTGCTATCTCAGTATGCCCTGGGAGAGGGGCTGGCACAGCAAGCCAGGGATCGAACCCCAGTTCCTGTGTCTGCCAAAGAAGCTGCGTTAGTCCACTGAGCTATCTGGCCCGCCCTTACATCACACTTTTCTCTAAGTCTGTCATCTTATTGGAGAAAAAGCTCTGACCCACAGCCAAACACTCCCACCAACCCCAGACCCACAGCACCTGAAGTCACTACAAACTGAGCTTGATCGCGCAGTCCCCCATGACATGGCCCAAGCCTCAATGCACGAGAAAGCCAGGGTGAAGGACAGTGGTAGTCAGGCAGATCCTTCACCCTGAAAGCCTCTCCTCCTGGGCCCTGAGAGGCTGCCAGAAAGGCTGGGGAGGACTCAGTAGCTTCATCCCAGCCCAACTGTCCTTTTCTGAGCCTCCGCCATTTCCTGTGCTGTGGGAAACACAATCTCAGCCACTCTTCTTGGGAAGGTAGCAGGTACTGGGGACGGGCAGGTGGTCAGGCTGGAGCTCCTGGTGCCACAGAGGCCACCTGATTAGACAGGCAAGACACACTCCTGCAGAGGAGGAGGCCCCCTTGGGGCTACTGATAGGCAGAGGGACTTTCCAGGAAGTGACACATCTGAGGGCCCAGTTCTAGGCCAAGGTTAACTGGGGACTCTAGAGGTTTCCATCCCATGCTGGCTCCAGGACCTGGCTCCCCACAGTGTGTTGGGCTTACACACACACACACACACACACACACACACACACATTTTTTTTTTTTTTTTTTTTTTTTTTTTTGTCAGAACCCAGGATTGAACTCAGGGCCTTGTGCTTGCCAGGCAAGCGCTTATTCTACTGAGCTATCTCCCTCGCCCAGATTACATTTTTGAGAGCCAACAACTGAAATGAAGCCCACATGCCAGGCATGTGGTGTACACCTATAATCCCAACACTTGGGAGGCTGAGGCAGGAGGATCACTGCGAGGTCAAGACCAGCCTGGGCTACAAAGTGAGCTCAAGGCCAGCCTGAACTGCATAGTAAGCCCCTGTCTCAAAAAGACAAACCAAACCAAAATGAAGCCCATAGCCCAGCTCACCTTCCATCAATACCAGGATCACATCTCTGAGGATAGTCAAGGTTGTACCCAGGACCAGGATGGAGAAGATGAAGGTGCAGATGGGGTCCACATACTTGTACTCTGGCTATAGGAAAAGGGCAAGGCGGACCTGGGCTTCACCAGCCATCACCTTGGCTCCCTCTTCTGCCCAATACTGTCAGGGAGTGGGGTTCTCTCTGCAAGGTGGGCAGAAGCCTCACCCTAGCCTGTCTCCTACTTTCTACTCTTTATTTCACGTTTGAAAGAACAGACAGGACAGACCACGGTTCAGGATGTGGCCCAGGCCCTCCCTGCCCTTCCTTGTCTGAGGGGCTGAGACATGAACAGAGCTAAAGGAATCTTAGCATTTGACCTAACACCCCCATTTTATAGATGGGGAAATTGAGGTTCAATGTGAGCAGGGAACTCACTGGACATTATACAGCTTCAAACTCAATGCCTGACTCTCCATAAGACCTCCCTGCCTCTATGTGATGGACAGTGTCCTGACTTTGACAACGCATAATCCTGGCTTTGAATCTGGCTTACCAGTTGTGTCAGTTCCTAAACCCTTCTGAGCTGTTCAAAACATGACCACCTACCCTTTGGGACAGTTGTGAGGAACAGAAATGCTGATACTTGGTAAGTATTAGATAGATATACCCTTCTCTCTCCATCCTTTTGCCCAGAACTGGAATTTGGAGGGTGCCCAATGCAGAGAAGAGCCCAAAATAATCTACATTCCCTTGTCCCACCCTCCCAGCTCTGTCCCTAGCTCTTCACCTTGAAGTATAAAATATAGGCTGCCACCAGGACACCCAAGCTCTGTAGAAAGTCTCCAACCACATGAACGAAGGCAGCTCGGACACTGGGGTTCTGCTGCTGCTGGCTGGTGTCCTCATGACTGTGCCCACTGCCATGGCTGTGCCCGTGGCCAGACTGGTAAAGGATCAACCCCATTCTGCAGAAGTGGAGGCAAAGCCCAGGGGGTTACTGAGACAGCAGGAGCAGCTTCAAAAATCCACAAGACAGAAGACACCATAGGGCTGACCTCCCTGTGGAGGCAAAAATCTCAAGGCCCTTAGGTTCTGTGATTTCTTAGGTCAAGAAAAGAGCCTGATCCACAGGCCTTGATTCAGAACCATGGGAGAAAGGACGCAACTCCAAGGGCAGACTGAGTCTGGGAAGAACAATGGCAGAGCAGGAAGGCGGTGTGAAGGCCATCTAGTTCACCCTGTTATGTCACAGGTAGGGGGACTGAGGCCACTAAGCAAGAGAGACAGAAGGCTCATGTTCAAGACATCACTGCCTGCACTGAGACCAGTTTCAGCCACATCAGCTTGAAAAAGGACATGGGTTAGGCCCCCAGGGACAGCTATACTTATCCCTCCCCACTGCAGGTACGAAGGCTTCAAGGTTATTTGGACACGTTTGGGGACATGGATAGAGTTGATGTCAACCCTGATTTATAGCCCCTAAAGGCCTTGGCCCAATACTTGAGGCAGGACCCAGGTATCCCAGATGCCAGAGCTCAAAGTATTAGGAAAAGTTTGTCCCTGTTCTGTGCTGAACTGTGGCACGGCCTTCCAATGACAGCAAAGTATGCCTGGGGGACATGCCAAGGGAACAGAGGCCACACTCACATGATGTTCACAGCCACGGCAGAACCCGACGTGATGAGCATGGCGCCTCCTTTGATCTCATAGTCCCCAGTGATGAGTCTTTCCACAGCCAGGTACACCAGCACCCCAGTCACAACCCAGATGGACAGCACAGACAGCAGGGCTCCCAGGATCTCTGGGGAAGACCCGAGCACCAGCACCACAGTGAGCCTGGGGTCCAGTGGTTTGGGGCCTCCCAATTCGTGGTCTCCTCCCTGCTGCAAAGTTAGGGCTTGGGTCCCATCAGGTTCCGCTGAAGGTGTGGCTGGCATGGTTACACCATACCCTAGGACTCATATGTGTGATTGACGAAGTCTTCAAGGTCAACCTTGTTTGTCTTACATGAGCAGAAAGTGACTTCTTACTATAAATACATATATATATATATATATATATATATATATATATACTTTTTGATCAGCTGGCAAACAAGCATTTGAGGAAGGGGGAGGCTGGGCCATCTCCCAGTAGAGGAAAATGACAGCGCAGCCCCAGAGTGAACAGATGGAGTTTAAGGTCTGTGTCTTCCAGCAGCCTTGGCTGATCTCTCCCTCCCCCAAGAGCTGATGCGTGGAGTTACTAGAGTTCTAATGCTACTGTCATGTGTTCTTGTTTCTTTGTTTGTTCAGGCTGGCCTTGAGCTCACTTTGTAGCCCAGGCTGGTCTTGAACTAGCAACAATTCACAAAGATTCTCCTGCTGCAGCCTCTGAGAACTGGGATTAACAGACCTGAGGCACCACGCCCAGTTTGTCATGTGTTCTTGAAGTTCTTTAGCCACTGCATTCTTAGGAAGGTGACCTTTGCTTCTCTGCAGAATCAGAGCTCCTGGGTGACAGGGACCATTGCTGCCCCATCAGATCAAGTTCCCAGAGAACTGAGGCCATGGCTGACACCCTCTTCCCCCACCCTCTTCCTAGCTTCAGTCAGGGCTGACCGTCCTGGGCACCCTAAGAACCTCTTTTCTGATTCTCTCTCTCTCTCTCTCTCTCTCTCTCTCTCTCTCTCTCTCTCTCTCTGCCTCATCTTTAGCCCACTAGGTGTCCTTACCAGCTCGCTGCCAGCCAAAGTTCATGGTCTTCGTGGCTGGTCGGGAGGACATCCAGAGGGAAAAGAGGCTGATGAACATGCTGACAAAGTCAGTGAGCAGGTGGGCTGCATCAGTCATGATGGCCAGGCTGTGTGCCAGGTACCCACCTGCAGGGACAGGACCAGAACCAGGGCCTTCTCAGTTCCCTATAGATCCAACTCCCCAGAGAGCCCACGGGCTCTGGAAAAAGACACACTGGGTTCAAGATCTTACAGTCTCTGAGCCTCAACTTTCAGTCTGTGACATGAGTTCACAACATCTACTTGGAGGGAAATGTTAAAATCAAATGCAAATACAGGCTGGAAAACATTAACAGGAACTCAGTAAATCTAGAAATTTGGGGCTTCCCTTACCTACCCGCTCTGTGTGCTCTTTAGCAGGTTACTTAACTTTAATATAGCTCAATTTCACTGTCTGTAAAATAAGGAGAAGGAGCTGGGTGCATGCCCGTAATCCCAGCTTCTCGTGAGACTAAACGTTGGAGCCCAGACTGGGCAGCTTAGTTAAGACTCTGTCTCAAAATACAAGTCAAAATAAATGAATAAATATGGCTGGAGGTGTAGCTCAGAGTGAAAGTTCTGGGTTGAACCCCCAGTATGGGAAGGAAAATAACACAATTTTGATAGCATAAACTAGCTGTGAGACTTGTATGAGATAATGTATCTACGCAGGGCTTAGCATGACGGCTCAATAAATGCGGCTATTGGTATTCGTATTTCTAGAACTACCCAGGCTCTCCATGCACTCATTTCATTTAATTAGCACAAAATTTCTTACCGATGATTTCCCCGATCATGAACAACAGGCAGACAGCAGAGGCCACGTACAGCTGGCGACGGGCCTGCTCCTTCTTGGGGTCATAGTGACTGCTTGGATCCTTCTGGGCATGGCAGTAATGGTTGCTCTGGGTAGCCAGCTCAACAGCCTGGAAGTCCAGGCCAGGCTGGAGCTGAGAGAGCCAGCCAGCCTTGTGCTGCCACAAAGATCCTGTGTATGACCTGGCGGGAGAGGGGTGGGGGGGACTTGGCTGGGAGATAGGGGCAAAGACAGCTGACCCCAGCACCGTCTCTCCGTGGGCCCTTGGTGCTCCCATGTGTTCACTGGAAAGAAGAGCTAAGAATACGTCAAGCTCAGGGGCCCAGTAGAGGGACCATAAGGTGAGAAGCCCTTGTTCAGGGGGTCGGCTGCTGGAAGAATGGGAGTCTAGGGGCCTTGGAGCCGGGCCGGGCCCTTCTCCCTTGTCCCTTTCAAGGACTAGAAGAGGAGTCTTTGGGAACTGGTCTAGAGGCACTGTCCAGTAGAGCGTGGAGAAAGAACACAGCTGAGGCTCAAGGTGAAGCGCGGATCTTCCCTCCGGCTCCCTTGGAGCACACGGCATACCCTGGGCTGCTCGGGGGGCAAAGGGCTGGCCTGTGGGCGGGACTCCAGACATTGTCCCCTATCCCACTGCAGTAAACTGGAGTCAGAATCTGTGTTCCGCAGCACAAAGGCAGGGATGGTTCCTGGTGCTTGGGGACCGCGGCCAATTTCCCCTTCCCCGGCCTCACCCCATCCCTCTGGCGTGGTCCCAGTTCAGGCTGCAGCCAAATCCAGCCACAGCGAGGATGGGGTGGGTCGGATGTCGCCCCAGGGCTTGCCTTCCCCGGCTCCCGTCTTACCCAGCTCCACGCCTGCCGTCCAACAGGTGCTGCCTCTCAGTGGCCTCCATGCCACCCCGCACGTCCCCGCCTCCCCGCCGAAAGCGGCCTGGACTAACTGCAGTGAGGGCCGCGCTGTCCCGGGCGCTCCAGCTCTGCGTCTCCGCGCTCCACGTGTGCACGCCACCCGCTGCGCCCCGCGCCCGCCCGTTTTATCCCGGCCACCCCGTGTGAAGCTGCCCGCCACGCGTCGTGTGCAAAAGCCCGCCGGGAGGGAGGAGGGTGGCCGGCTGCAAAGGGCGTCGCGGTGCTGCCCCCCGCTGCACCCCCACCTGCGGGTGCCCAGCTAGGGGCCGTGAGCAGCCAAGCCGCCTGCAAGGAAAATCCAAACAGCTTTTGCGCCCACTTTCTCCCCGCGGGGTAGGCCAAGTCCCAGCGAAGTTACAGGACCTTGATTTCTACAGAACCTTGGTTTCTCGGTTACCCTGAGGGTAGGAATGCGGCCCCTTGCCTCGGGATAGCGACTCCTGCGGCTAGGGCAGGGCATCACGCCTCAGACTAGAAGCTGTTCTGGGCTGCTAGGTTCACCTCCTCCCAGCTGGGAAACTTCTGAACCAGCTGGTGCCTTTCCCTCTGGCTGGGAGTGGGTGGAGTTGCCTCCCTTCGGCTGGGGCGGCCTCTCCTTAAGACGGTTGGGGTAGCCCACAACTTCGCCACTGAAGCAGCGCCCGTTCCTCCTTCCTGTGCACTCTGACTAAAATCTGGAGTGGCTGGCTTTTTTTATTCTGAGATACAATAAAAGTTACTAAATTACCCAGGTTGGATTCCAATTTGTGGCCCTCGGGGCTCAGTGTCCCTGAAAGCTGGGATTGGAGGCAGGCACCACCAGGCCTTCCGAGAGTGGCTAGCTTTATCTCCACCCCTATAAGACATAGTGTGGTGCTTCATTAACAGCTGCCAGCCATCCATCCAGAGCTGACAGCATCACCACCACCACACACATTTCTCCCATGCCCTGAAGCAGTGCAAGGGGCACTAGAAAGCTCTACTGGCAAACATCTGGAGCAGCAGAAAAATCTGGCACCTGCAGAAGGTGCCAGGTGTGGTGGTACAGATGGAAGAAGCTGGCCTATGCCCGATTGGCAGCTTGGTGCCTCCTGAAGGGGTGTCCCACCACCCAGCCTCCACATGCTGGCCTCTAACCCGATGTCTGTGTAGAAGGCTAGTGACATTCCCTGGGCAGTCACTCCATGAGCTCCAGTGCCCTTGGTTTGGAAGGTATGGCCTACAACAGGAAAAAAAAATATGTAGTGCTGGAAGGATAGCCTCATGGTAGAGCTGTGAAACTATGAGATCAAGCTCCAGCACCACAAGGAGGAGGAGGACGAGAGGAGAGAAAAAGAAGTTGGGTGTTGGGGCACAGTTTATAATCCCAGCACTGGGGAGGTGGAGGCACAAGAATCGCTGTGAGTTCAGCCTGTGCTAAATGCAAGACCCTGCCTCAAAACAAAACAAAACAGAAAAAGTGAGGCCAGCACCCCTGGGGACAGGGAGGAGCTCTTTCAGTCTGTCCCCCTATGGGAGTCAGCTTGTAAGGGGCAGGGAGCAAGGACTGGGACTCGCTGGAAGTATCTGCTTTGCTTGGGTTCCTGCTCTTCCTTTCCACCTCCTCTGGACTTTGACGATGGGAAATCGCAGACTTCATGCATTTTTTAAAAAAAATTCTTTCTTTTTTTTTTCTTTTCTTTTGGTACCAAGTACCAAACTCAAGGCTTTGCACATGCTAAGCATTCACTCTACCACTGAGCTACAACCTCAGCCAAGACTTTCTAGTTTCCTTGAGGTTTAGGCAAAGGACCAGCAAGCTTGGTCTGGAAAAGATGCTAAAATGCAGGTTACAAGTTCCTGCACTGGGCCAACTAAATCTGAATCTCTGGACATGGAACCTGCATATTCTCAAGATTGGGGTGAGAGGGCTGGGGAGATGGCTCAGTGGAATAAGTGCTTCCCTGGCAAGCACAAGGGCCTGAGTTCAATCCCTGGTTCCACCAAAAAGAAAAAAAAAAGATTGAGGTGAGAGGGGGGCTTGCCTAGTAAAGTTTGAGGACCTCTCTAGAAACTCTTTTTTTTTTTTTTTTTTTTGTGGAACCGAGGTTTTGAACTCAGGCCCTTGTGCTTGCCAGGTAAGCGCTTATTCTACCGAGCCATTTCCCCGGCCCCATCTCTGGAAACTCTTGTAGGTCATCTCACACTGGTAGTCATCTGTCTTCCTGGACAGTGGGGGGTGAAGTGGGTACATTTTACATTTAGCCTTTTACAGATGCTCTGAGCATTTATCTAATTAAATTAAATAAATTAGATTGAAATAAATAGAAGACTATAGGGTTGCTCACCTAATTAGATGACAGTGAGGCAAGTGCTGTGCATGGCAGTTTCTGCTGCACCATTGAAGATATAGGTTGTAGAGTGTGTGTGTGTGTGTGTGTGTGTGTGTGTATTTTGAGACAGGGTCTTACTAGGTAGTTCAGACTAACCCTGAACTTGAGGCAATCTTCCTGCCTCAACTTCCCAGTGCTGGGATTACAGAATTGTACAACCATACCTGATGAGGTTACAGTTTCAAAGTGCCCTTTTTTTCATGTTCCTGTCTTACAACCTATTTGAGGTCAAACTATGCTTTATACAAATATGCGTTCTTCATCTAAACTTAGATGGAGTTGGTCAAATGAAGGAACATCTGGGTTATGCCTTTTTTAAAGTAGTTTTCCTATGAATTGTTTGCATGTTGTTGTTGAAATGTGGAGCTGTAACTCTTCATGGCTGCGGACAGTCAACAATATGCACTTAAAAGTTGCACTATTGCAAAATGGGTGTACTATCCAGGTATTGGACCAGAAACTTTTTTTGTACTGCTGGTCTTGTACCAGAAACATTTTCTTTTATTGTTACTCTCTTTTTAAACTTTGTTTAACCACTAAAAAAAAAAAAATCCGCTTATGGCACAATTTGCCTCAAGTCCATTCCAAGTTGTGTATTTGTTTTCCAATAAAAAATTATAATTTGCCCCCCAAAAATATGTATTCTTATAAAGCTCCATTCCTTTCCATAGCAAGCACATTGTAAATTCTTAATAAATGCAGATATAAAAAATAAATGCAGGTATACAAGTTAGATTCCACTGCATGTATTCATTTTATAAAAGCTCTTGTGGTAGATTTCCACTAAATCCATACTGTCAGCTATGTAGAGTAATACTGCATTTGGTTTTTGTCCACTATTCCTGGCTCATAACTCCCTCCTTAAGGCAAACTATAAAAATTAGAATTTTTCTTCCCTAAAGAGGTCACAGAAACTCTAATTTCCCCCACCTTTATCTGTAGTAACTGGCCATGAAGAAACTCTCTGAGGTCCTTCTTTGTCTGATAGTAGTTCACATTTCATTTTACTCCAGAGGAGGAGCCCTGCCCATACTTGGGGGGAAGAGATGGTACAACCTCAGGACCAAAAGGAACCTGGACAGATAGGCCCTGCTGAATTTCCCATCCTGCCTGTTTGCATTAGGCCACACCCCTTGTGTTATCCATACTTTAATCCTGTTTTTGCAATGAAATCTCCATAAAAGTTCCAAAGAACAGGATAATCAAACATACAGAGGCTCCCAGAGGCTGATGTACCCCAATGCATGGAGGCTGGGGACCCCTGCCTATAAAACTTGCCCTGTCCCCTGCTCCATCTATATCCTCTATAATGTCTGTTCTAATAAACAAGTAAGATAAGTTAGCATTTTCCTCCTTAAAGTCGAGCTGAATTGAAGGGCATCCAGCTGACATCCGCTGCAGAATTAATTATTTGCTTGGTGCACACACCTGGGGTCTGAAACATGTTCAGGTTGGTTTTCTCTGCTATATTTTTTTTTTTTTTTTTTTGCGGGGGGAACTGGGGATTGAACTCAGGCCCTTGCCCTTGCTAGGCAAGCACCTATTCTACTGAGCCATCTCCCCAGGCCCCAAAGAGTGGAATAAGGTTTGTTTTTTTTTTGCTCCGAATGCCTTCAGGGTTGGTTTGGCTGGCTGGAGTGTTGTGGGGATCAAACTACAGCAACCTGAGGCTAACAGCTTTGTGGAAGCAGCCACTTAAACAACTGAGCTAAGGCCAGGCCCCCTCTGCTGTATTCTTGAAATGCATTTTGTTTTGTTTTGGTTTTGGTCTCCTTGAAACAGGATCTCTCTATGCAGTTCAGGCTGGCCTTGAGCGTACTTTGTAGCCCAGGGTGGTCTCTAACTCACAATTTGCAATGGTCCTCCTGCCTCAGCCTCTCAAATGCTGGGATTACAAGCATGTACCACCATGCTAGCCTTCAAAATGCATTTTAATTGATTTGTAAGACTTGAACAAACAAAAAAATTCTTTAATCAAAATTTTGATACATTGGAGGCCGGGGAGATGGCTCAGTGGAATAAGTGCTTCCCTGGCAAGTGCAAGGGCCTGAGTTCAATCCCTGGTTCTGCGAAAAAAAAGAAAAGAAAAGGTATACAATTTTGATACACTGAGAACCACTAGGTCCACCTGTACATTCAGAGATGCCCAGAAGGTCCTGTGCAGAATGACCTAGTAGCTCCCAAAGCTCAGCAGTACTTGAAAATTTTTACTTAAAAATCATAGATTCCAAGCTGGGGAGATAGCTCAGCAGTCTAAACACCTGCCTGGCAAGCACAAGGACCCAGATTCAATCCCCAGTACTGCATGCCATGCTAGCCACCAAAACCAGGTGTGGTGGTCACTCCTGTAATACCAGCACTGGGGAGGCTGAGACAGGAGGATCGTTATGAGCCTGAGCTGCTTTGCAAGACTCTGTACCAACTAACTAACTAGCTAACTAAATAAACTTTTAAAAGATTAAAAATAATAATAGATTCTGCCAAGAAAGATAGTACAGACCTATAATCCTACTAGGGAGGCTGAGGCAGGAAGATTGCAAGCTTCAGGTCAACTCAGACAATTTAGAGCTGTCCTGTCTCAAAACCAAACTATCAAGGAAACCAAAGCAAATCCACATAGGTCCTGACTTTCTACAACCAAGGTCCGGTTCCATAGATCTGGAGTGGGGCCTGGGAATTCATGTTTTAATGTCTTCTGTTTGATGCTATTGTGGAATTATTGTTTTTATGTTCTAGAAGTTATAACTTTTAAAAATTGTTTAAATTAAAAGCTATAGGGCCAGTGGTAAGCTCAGCGGACTAAACACTTGCTTAGGTAAGTTCAAGGGCCAGTGTTCAACCCCTGGTACCGCATGCCACACCTGGGCACACTGAGCTGGCATTGGAGTCCGGGCGTGGTGGCTCACGCCTATAATCCCACACTAGGAGGATCACTATGAGTCCGAGCTGCGTAGTGAGACCGTGCACAAAAACAAACAAACAACCAACAACAACAAAACACTAAGGGCTGACCTGAAAGTTCAGTGGACTGAAGCACTTGCTTGGGCAGAGTGCAGCGACCAGGGTTCGATCCCCAGTGTGCCAGTGATTGAGACTGGGCATGGTGGCACGCGCCTGTAATCCCAGCACTTGGGAGGCTAAAAATAGGAGAATCAATATGAATGCGATCTACATAGTGAGACCCTGTAGACCCTGTAGACCTTGTCCTAAATACAGAAGAAAAAAAAAGGTTTTTTTTTTTGTTTGTTTGTTTGTTTTTTTTAAACAAAAGCAGAAGTGACAGCAGATTCTGATTCCTTGAAGTTCAGAGTTCAGGTCTCAGTTGGCCTTAGGAAACGTCCCAGAGGAGAAGATTTCAGATCTCGCCTCAAACCTGCTTTCTGCAGAACCAGAGCGGCAAGCATGTTGTCTCACAAGTATCATCCTGCGGGCAGATTTCCACAAGTGCGCCAGAAACTCTGCTGTACAGCCCTCGCTCCATGGGATTAGCCCAGCCTCACCCAAGTCCTTTACCTGTCAGACCTGCTCATCCACGCTCAACTCTCATCTTCCCCCAAAAAAACCAGGATAAAAGAAACCTCAGCTCATTTGTAATAACAGGAAGAGAGCACTGTGCGTTTATTAAAACAACATAGAACAAACTCAGTTCCCCCACGTCAGGGATGGGCACTGAAATACAGTACATTGTCTCTTTCTAGGCCCATGAGTGTGACCCCGCCCTCCCACCCAGAAAGGCCGGTGGGTCGCTCTATGGACCTGGCTTCCTCTCCCCCTTTCGCAATAACCAGTCCATGGTGACCAAGCATTATCATACAAAAGTCTCTTTACAAAAAGCACCAAGTGGGCGTACGTAGACAAGTATATACAAAAGTCACATTTTAAAAACGTACAAAATATTTCATTGTTCACCAGCATAGAAAAGTGTCCTGTGTGACTCTCTCAAGCACATTCCCAATCCTGGTTCAGTGACTGCTGGACACAGCGGTGGGCTTCCTATTCTAGTCCCTGCTCTCTGAGCAGAGGAGACACAAGTCCCCATTGCCCCACCAGGGGCCCCGTCCCTCCCACCCTGGGCCCTTCCCCCCAGTCTCTCTGCATGCAGAGGGTCTGTCGCTCATCCAGTGCCTTACTGGTGTCCTGAAATAAAACAGACACAGAGAAACATAATGAGACAGGGACTCAGGAGGGTGCAGGGCTTGCCAAACTACAGTGACAGCCAGACATGGTGGCACACCCTGTAATCCCAGTACTCGGGAGGCTGAGGCAGGAGGATTATTGTGAGTTGGAGACCAGCCTGGGCTACAAAGTGAGCTCAAGACCAGCCTGAACTACATAGGGAAACTGTAAGAAGAAGGAGGAGGAGGAGGAGGAGGAGGA